AATCCCAGCAACCGCTGCAAACCTCAGAGAGAAAGCTGCACTCGCTCCGACCGAAGGCAGACAGTCCCGCTTCTCCCGTTTGAGTCTGGGTCCCTAAAGACTTGCCCGTATCTGGAGCTCAGGGTTTGCAACTCCCTCCGGATTGAAAACGCCAACCGCGCCCTCCGCTGCCAGCCCGCTCCGCGCGCACTCCGCACCTCAGAATTTGACTTCAGCACTGCGCCTCCTCTGAGTGTCGGTATGTGTTCTCTTTCCTCCTAGTTGTAGGACTTCCACTCAGCCAGCGTTCCTGTGGTTCTGGGTGGTGTCCGTTCCGTCTTTTAGTTTCACTTTTGAAGTGGTTGTTCAAGGCAGCAAACTCCGGCGTTAACCTATGCCGCCATCTTGGTTCTCTCTCTAATCATTGTGCTTTATGTTCAATTTGTAACAATGGAAATACATCCTGCGTATCAGGTATTTACATGACGATTCATAACAGTAGCAAAATTACAGTTATGAAGTAGCAACAAAAATATTTTATGGTTGGGGTTCACCACAACATGAGGAACTGCATTAAAGGGTCGCAGTATTAGGAAGGTTGAGAACCACTGGCCTAGGTGCTCCTGACGCAGTGCCTCAGGGATCTGATGCAGCACTCAGATGGGGCGCCAAGATGTCGAACCACAGGAAGAGGCTGAGGAACTAGACCTAACCTGTGTCTGAAGGCTGCACCCTGCTATCTCAGGCTTTCAGGGAGAGGTCTTCGCCCAGGACTTTACCACCAGTGAATTACAATTCTGTGAATCAGCACCCCACCCCGCCCCCTTCTTCCACCCCAGACTAAAGGAAGATGCTCATTGTCTGCACTTCTCAATTTATACCAAAGAAATCGTAGAAGAAGTTCCCACACACGCCAATACCCCACATTAGATGCTCGAGAGGAATCTTTCAGAAGGCAGGGCCATGCATCCAATCTACACACGCACTAAGCCCCAACCTCAGCAGCCCACACTGTAGGGTCCTGAGATGGAAGATGCTAACCTGCTGTGGCAGGATTACCCCGCTGCACTCCCAGCTCCTCTTCAGGAGTCTCTCACCCAAACTTTATTAATTAATTGGGCAGGAAGGAGGTCATGGGTTCATTTCTTTTTTGGTCCTTTTGTTTTTTCCTAATTAAAAGAAAAGGTACCACAGTTTTCACTCCTTAGACATGGATGTAGCTACCTTTTTTGTATGTTGTTAATTTTTTAAGTTGGATTAGCCGTATACTTGGTGTGGAAAGAGTCTGACCTTGCCATGTGGTTTGCAAATCGGGGGAAAAGCTACTCTGTGTGTTTTATTTTCTGATTTACACTAGAGTGATTCCCCCCCTACCCTCCTCCCAATGTCAAGTTTGTACCTTGCATGTACTGGAGTATTTATTTCATCTATTAAAATGTTATGTTTCTCAGAAAAAAAAAATGAAGGAAAAAAATAGGGCCCACTAGCAGATCAATAAGATCCTCTAGTTCTCTATTCAGAACTAAGCCTGACCTCTTTGGATCAAAAAAGTCCTTAGAGTTCTTGAATACATAAGGAAGGGCAAGAGCAAAGAGGAAAAGCCACAAGAGAGACATACTAAACTTCCAGCTAATTTCATACTCATTCAAGAGATTAATCTTAATATTGAAAAGAGATCTGACCTGATTTGCACTCCAAGCTGATGAGGTAGTATGTCATATCCATTGTCCTTTAATTTTTCCAAAATGCACACACCCTCGTCCACCCACAGGGCTCAAATTGTGCCTTCTGAAGCCACACAGAAACAGCCTTTCAAGGATATGAGGATGATGTTTAAATTTTTTCTCTTCGGGGCTTCTAAAAATGGCTCATTCAACCCCTCTTCAAAGAACTAGATTTCAAGGTCCCTCTCCATCTTGCCTCCTTTACATATGCTCTGGTCTGTATATGTTACCCTCGTGGTGCACAGCCCAGAACTGGCTGCAGTCTACCATTGATACCACTCTGAGAGCATATGAGACTACTGTGTCATCTATATTTCTATATAGCAGTATGTGAGCCTAGAAGCCAGTTCCCTTTTCAAATACTACATTATACCTTGTTAGGGGGCTCCATTCTTTTCAGGCCTAAAGAGGCAACGGCCGGGCAAAAGGCAAGCAACTCTGACTGCTTCAGTCCTGGGATTCTAGAGGTACTGAGATAGTTGTTTCATCCCTCCCGAGAGCCCACCTCTGGGCCTAGCTTAGTTTACAAGAGGGGCTCTGGACTCAGGCAGCCTGGGTTCAGATCCTGGTTCTATCACTTATTAGCCATGCGACCTTGAGCAAATCACTTTACCTCCTCTGTAGCTCAGTTTTCTCCTCTGCAGAATGAGAATAATTAAAGTACCTAGTGATGGAAATATATATCTTGATTGCAGGGAAGAGGTTACACAGGTGTATAGATATTTGTCAAAACTCAAACTGAATACTTAAAATGAGTGCATTTTACTACATGTAAATTATATGTCAATAAAGACAATTGAAAAGTAAAAACAAAATCATAGTAACTACTCATGGAACATTGTGAGGATTAAAAGAATTTCTGGAACTAAAATAGTTCCAGAAAACATACTAAGCACTCAACAAATGTAATGGAGTTTGCAATGCTGCTGCACACAATATTTGTGTCCTCGGATTGCTGCTGGGATCAAGGAAGGGATCTGAAGACCCAAGGCAGCTAACCCACATGTGGAATTTTCCCAGAAGTTTCATTACAGACCTGGCTTTCACCAGATAAAACACCAGTGTCACAAACCATACCCATTCCAAGCTCCAGCCAGGGTTGTGTTCAACACTGGGAAAGCCAAACCACAGGAATCATCACCAAAACCAAATATTCCAGTGAAACGGAGAGGGATTTGCTTTCTTTAGTCTTCTTCTGGCTTTAACCATGAGGTCTTCCTGGGTCAACTTTGATTTTTATTAGTTCACTAAATTTTACCCGAAAGTCTACTGTGCCCAGCTTATGCAGGAGCTAGGGAGAGACAGAGGAAAAAGTATCATTTCCTGACTGTCTCACCTTCACCAAGCTCACAAATTACAGAAATTACAAATAGGAAAAGGAGAGTGGGATGAGAGAGAGCAATGTATAGTGAAGAGAGTACTGTGCAGGGAATTGTTAGACCAGTGTCTAGCCTCAGCTGACATTTACTAGACCCATGCCCAATGTGAACCTGTTTCCTCCTCTATAAAATGAAGGGATAAAAATAAACAATCCCACAATCTGTGTGATGTGAGGATGGTAGAAAAAACAAGTGTAAAAGAACTTGTTTCAGGCTCTCAGCCATGAGATAAATCTCAGGGCGAGCCAAGTGAGCTAACTTAGAAGAATTGATTCTTAGATCCAGAATGCAATAAGGGAACTGCCTCACTGCTGCAGCTGCTACAGCAACAGTGATAGCAGTAATAATCTAGAGGAGATCCCTTTGAGCTGCTATTACAGGGACAGGGTTCATTTCCATTTTCTCACCTCGCATTGCCCCACAGGGCCAAATCTGTGAATTAAGGATTCACGATGCCAAGACTAGCTCATTTCTGACATTTCCTCCTACTCATTCTCTGGGTCAGGCCCAGGGGTTTAGAAGAGCACTGTGAGGTGAAGGGCAAGGTAAGGCAAAGCAGGCAAAGAAAACATCTATAGAGCAGGACACTTCTCTCTGGAAGTCAGCTACTGCCATGCATGTTTGAAAGGCTATGGGGCCTGAAAGACACACAATACAGTGAATTATACAAGAGAATCCTGTTTCAGTTTATGGAGGTACACAAGGTAGTTGTACACAACCATCTACTTGTAATTCTTTGTAGCTCAATTCAACAATTACTGATACTATAGTCTCCTTCAGGCCTTGTGCCTGATTTAAAACACACACACACACACACACACACACACACACACACACACACACACAACTGACTGTTTCTTGCTTGCTCCAAACGTGGAAAGGAAAGCAGAGAGTTAAGTGAATAATCACAGTACAACGGAGACCTGTGCAAAATGCTGTGGAAACACAAAAGTGGCTGTGCCAGAGAGAAGACATCAAAGAGTGTGTCCTGAAAAGGTGCATCTACAGTGGGTCTTGAGCCTGGCCGGTGTGGCTTAGTGGCTGAGCATCAACCTATTAACCAGGAGATCACAGTTCAATTCCTGGTCAGGGCACATGCCCAGGTTTCAGGTTCAATCCCCAGTAGAGGACATACAGTGGGCAGCTAATCAATGATTCTCTGTAATCACTGATGTTTCTACCTCTCCCTTTCCCTTCCTCTCTGAAATCAATTATATATATATTGCCCTAGTCAATTTGGCTCAGTGGATAGAGCGCAGGCCCACAGGCTGAGGGTTTGT